CATAACCAATCCTTTTTTGGTCATGATGTCACAAGGGTTTGACAAAATATAACAAAAAAAATAGTGGTCATAATTATTAATAACGATGCCAACTCGAATTTCAGATCTTCAAATGCACGTTTGCATGCCAAATATAGACAAAACGATGATCATGGGCACCAAAGTTGGAGGTCACAACTATTAATAACGATCCCAATCGAATATTACATATTGACCTTCGAGTAATTTAAAATGGGGATACATTGAGAAGTCACAGCAGTCAAACAACATCGATGAATACTATAAATCTTGATTCTTGGTCCGCTAAGTTATTCTGCTCGAAGCTTCTCTTGTGAGCGATTTATTCAATGAATAAGATGGAGTGCCCCCATTATGCTTGGTCGCGGGTTGAGAATGTTTTATGGTCTTTCATGACTTATAATACCCTTTCAACAATGTAAGTATACTATGTATACTCAACTTGGTAGTCACAACTCTATGAAGGCAAATAGATACAAATGGCCAAAGGAGTATACGTGATTGATTTATATAATGGGCCTCTTGATTATTAAAAATAAAAGTTTAATTTATTTCATTAAGAAGACAATGAAGAATAATTCATATTGAGGGGTACATAAGTTTTGCTATGATCAAACATCGTTATCTTCTTGATCAACAAAATTTTTTGAGATTATAAGATGGTGGGACGTTTGAAGTGTGTGGTTAAAAATGAATTAAAATTGTGGAACCAATAATTAAAAATGAAATTTAATCAGCTTGTGATCTCAAAAAACCTTCGTCAAATAAAGACTATATCATCCAGATCTTTGGTCAAGATTCAATCTCTAGGTAATGAGAGAGCAGCAAGCTTAACTTGAACGACATGTAAACGGACAATTATAACTCAATTCTACGTCTCTTTACTTCTATTAGGTATGAATTAAAAATCTAAATTTAAATATACTAATAAACACACCATACGTTTTATAGTCTTTCATGACTTAAAAAATGCACCTTCGAACTTGGCATGTGATTCATCTCTATTCTAACGAACAATCTTAAAACTATCCCATGTGATATCAATGACAAAGGTGCTTTCCGGGCATGTGCCTTGATTTGAGGCCTGAAATCGGATGTGGTCTATGGGGGAAATCAAGTGGTGGCGCCCTCTACGGCATGTGGACACCATGAGTCTTTGACAAGTATCCCAATTCTGGTCCGCGACTTTGATTAGTGGTTACATAAAAATCTATATTTATGTCGATTTTGAGATTCGATTTACAAATTAATTCTTAAATTCAGTTTATTTTCTACGATACTAAATTGGGATAGATGTTAAAGATTTGGAAGTCTATGTGTTATTCTTTGATTTTTTAAACTCGATTTAATTTTCATAGAATACATCAGTTTTTAAAAATTTTGGCTATTATATTTTTTATATTGCAGGATGTAGTGTTATTATCTTTATTTTTTTGTCTGTAAACATCGTAGTATCTTTAAATTTAAAATAAATAAATAAATAAAGTAGTAAATACAACAAAGTTGAGTAGTTGACAATAAATATTAAGAGTGTGTTTGAGACACATTCTTTTAAAAGAATGTATTATTGAATAGCAGATTGATGGAGAATGTGTGGTTAAAAATGAAGGAAAAGTTATTGATGTGATAGAAAATATTATTTTGTTGAAGAATGTGCTGTTAAAAATGAGTAGAAGAATGAGAATAAAAAAAAATGTGTACCAAATAGGGCCTTATTATATGAATCATTATTCATTCACCTGTTCTTGCCTCCTTAATTAGTGGTCGCAGTAGTAACGGTGGGAGTAGTAATTCAGAGTTTTGGTACTGTTCTGCGAAGGTACTTGTTTAATTGTGTGCAGTTTATTAATCATATCGTGTGCTTGATTTTGATGTTGAATTGATTGTACTTGCTTTAATTTTGATTTTTCTGTTATGGTAAAACCAATTTCGTTGCCGAAGAATTGTTAAGTGCTTGCGAAGAAGTTTACTTTGTTACTTTGTTATGATTTCATTCTACAGACTACAGAGCCCCCTATTTGAAAAGTTACACATTATAATGTAGAATGACATGCATTTCTTCTAATTTAATATTACCCTTTTAAAATAATTTTCAGTTCTGTAATCTTGATTTCAATTACTTTACAATCATGTTAGTATGTGGACCATAGTGATATCATATATCATTACTAGGTGGTGTGAAGGTGGTGGATGATTTTTGATTAACAGGTGTGAAGGTGGTGGATGATTTTCTCAAATTCTCACAAACGAAAATCATTTTTTGTGGAAGTGCATTTATTCTTTCGTGCGGATGCGGTGGTAGAATTGATTATTC